AAAATATAGTAGGCATTCACCTCTAGTATTTTTGAAAACCCCTCCAAAGCCAGCATTAGGAGACATGAAGCTACCATCAGTATTGACTTTGACCCAACCCATAGGAGGACAATTCCAGTGAACAAGGATAGTTTGAAGTTTTCTTGTACCAAGGAGGGAAGATGTGCATAGGATGCCAGAGAGTTTCCTATGGTAGTGTAGTTTCTGTAAATAGCTGTAACAGTGTGTGGCAATGGCTTTTGCATCCCAATGGACCTCATCAAATTTCAGCTTATTGCTTGCCATCCAAACAAACCATGCCATGATACCAGGGATGGGAGGGAGTTGTTAGTCCTGCCAATCTTTCCAGCTTGAATAAAACACCTCCCAAGACAGCTGGATGGTATTTAGTTTTAATTTGGGTAGCAAAATGTTCCAAATATGTTAAGCCTGATAGCATTTAAAGAATAAGTGGGGGAGGGATTCCTCCTCACATTTACACAGACAGCATCTTGAAGGGCCTCTCAAACCTTTTAACTTTAAAATATCATCAGTGGGGATGAAGCCATATAAAAGCTTCCAAGAGAGAAAGGCCATGGAAGGAGAAAGATACTTGTTCCACACACATTTAGTCCAAGATATCTCCGATTCAGGAAAGCATAAATTAGCAATGAAAGCTAAAAATGTCTGGGAAACCTTCTTCTTAACAATAAGTTTGTCCTTCCTATATCTATCAAAGGGTTTTTTCATTATAGTGTTAATTAATCTATTGTCAAGGATATTCTGAAGAGCTTGCTGGTTCCAACCATTAGCAGACCAAAGGTCAGACTTCTGTGTTGTTGAGTTGAAATGAGAATCAGTTGGAGGAGAGATTAAGCCTTCTCCAGTCCAGTTATCAAGCCACACATTCTTTCTGCCTTCCCCAATCTCCCAAATGAAAAGCTGTTCAGCCTTTGTTCTCTTCTTCAACATACTCTTCCAAGTTCTAGAGTCCTCCAATCTGTTGGTCACAAGAGAAGGATGCTGATCTCTACAGTATTTTCCTTTCAGAAATTTTGCCCAAATTGAAGTCTGTGCTCTAAACATAACCCAAAGTTTGCAAAAATTTGTTTGGGTAATTTGTTTGAAGCTTTTAAACCCCAGGCCACCAGCTCTGGTACTACCACAGATGCTTTGCCATCTCACCCAATGCACTTGCTTTCTCTGGCCTGCCCATAAAAATCTATTGAAAGTTCTTTCAAGTGAGGTTTGGATGGATTTCTTCATAACAGAAACCTGAGATAAATAAGATGGGAGAACTTCTAAGATGCTTTTAAGAAGGTTAATTCTTCCCCCATTGGAAAGAAAAGTATTAGACCAACTATTGAGTTTATCTTAAACTTTTTGAAGAATATCATCAAACTGGACTTGCCTAGTCCTCCCTTTAATCAATAAGGTGCTTAATTATTTCAGAGGTAGAGAGCTGGAGCAAAAACTAGTGAAATCTGAAATCCAGTGTTTGATTTCAGGCTTCACCCATTTACTGTATATAATTATATATATAGTTGGTCTATCTATTTTGGAGTTATCTACTGTGGAAGCTCATTTTGTTGGAGTTTCTAACTGAGAGTACTAATGTGAAGCAACCTATTTTGTTCCTGTTTCTTTTTAAGATTATTTTTATGCTTACTTGCATAAGTATACTTGTTTTTTGGCTCTTTTTTAATTTTTAGGGGTATAATTGTATTTTTTCTTAATTTTTTATTTGTGTTGTACTGTGTGTGGTGGAACCTCTAGATTAAATGTAATTTTGGGTTTTTAAACTAGGGATCCACCATTCCTCACCCCCTCCCCCCTCCTGTAACTTTTTTTAATATTAACACGTAAGGAGCCATTAGTGCCCTTTCCCTTAAAAAAAACACATATATATATATATATATATATATATATATCATACATCTACGATGGTTTTCTCTGTTAGGGCTGGGAATTTCAGGCAACTTCCTGGCAACAATGGAGGCCTCTTCTTCTCGGCTGCGCTCCTTTGGTGAGATCCTTCTGATTTCGCTTCTTGTTGGTGTTTTGCTCGAGTTTTCTTTATCGTGTGCCCTGTTTTACATTTTTTTTGCTTGGTGTTTCGGACCTATTAGGTATGGCGCCTACCTTTGATGAGGCAGTCTCGGGTTTTTGTGCCTCTAAGGATTTGGGGGAAAATAAGGTTTTTCCTCCTCCTTTTTATGAATCACTAGCCCTTCGTGTTGATTATAACTTCATCCAAAAATCTGTTAAGAAAGGGGGAAAATTGGCCCTCTTTCTATTGGAATTTGATAACAATATTCTTGCATCTTTTTGTCGTCTTAATTTAGTTGGAAAATTTCTCTACGAGCTTCCTAAGCTTGATTTTCTCCTGAAGCATTCCAACTTATGAATCTTGTTGGAGGTTGGAAAATTGGGATTTTGGATAGTCGTCATATCTTGATACAACTCACGAGTGAGGAGGATTATGCTAAAAATTTTGGGATGCGCATTTTGCAATTTGATGATTGGTTTTTTAAGGTTCTTAAGTGGTCCGTTGATTTTGGTCTGAAAGACAAACTCCCTATAATTCTGGTTTGGCTGCGGTTACCGGGTTTAAAAGTGCATTTATTTAATCATGAGATCCTTATTTCTCTTGTGGCGATGTTTGATAAGCCTTTAAAGTTGGATGCTCCCACCTATAATCTAACCAAGCTTTCTATGGCTAGAACTCTTATTGAGAGGGATGTTACTTTGCTACCTCCTGACGAGGTGTGGATTGGATCTGCTCATAATGGGTACTGGCAACAGGACTTTTTGGAAAAATACCTGCACTACTGTGGTCATTGTAAAATGTTTGGACATGATTCTGCGCATTGTTTTCATCTTCATCCGGAATTACTGATAAGGAATGAGGGGCAAACTCAACAAAAAATGGTGTTAGGCTACCTCCAGTTCCGACTCTGGTAGTTTGCGAGGATTATACTTTGCTTATTATGGGTAATCTAGGGGCTGATATTGAAAATGCTACGAATGTTATTGATACGGGGATACAGTCTTTACATGGAAATTGGGATATTATAACTCCTCTTGCTTGTACTTCTAATTCTAGGTCCGTGGGGAATGTTTTGCTTGAAAATTCTATGAATGTTATTGATGCGGGGATACAGTCTTTACATGAAAATTTGGATATTATAACTCCTGTTGTTTCTATTTCCGTGGGGAATGATTTGTCGGGTCAGATTAATCAGGTTGTCCTTAGACCTACCTCTTCTTTACCTGTGGGAGATGTTTCTAACCTTCTTGGGGAGGAGTGGCAAATACAGAAATCACGTCAGAGGAGGAAAAAAGGTAATTATGAATTGGCTAACCTAGGGGTTGATATTAATAATGATCATTTGAATCACTCTTATTTGGACGGGGAGCTTAGACAAACCCAAACTAGAACTTCTAGTAAGGGTGTTTTGTCTAGAAATGTTTAACGTTCTAATTTGGAATATCAGGGGAGTTGTGGATCCTAACTCTCTTGGTAGGCTTAAATTACTAACTAGGATCCATAAGATTGGTATTTTTTTCTATTCTGGAGCCTTTTGTTGCATATCCTCATGAACACATTATTGGTAAATTCAAGCATTTCTCTTTCTTTCGTAACCATTCTAATAAGATTTGGCTATTTTGGAGGAAACACATCACCTTGGATATTCTTATTGATGATGGACAATTCGTACATACTTATTTCTCTATGGATGAGTTCTCAAGTTGGCTTACCTTTGTATATGCAAGTACAAAGATTCCAGCCAGGTATGAGCTTTGGAACAAAAATAGTAGTATGGCTAATCTCATTTCTGATCGATGGATGGTGGGAGGTGATTTTAATATGCTACTTCATCAAAGTGAAAAATTTGGTGGTCGTCGGCCTGACTTATCTTTGATCAATAGCTTCGGTAAAACTATGGTGGATGTTGGTTTGTCGGATATGGGTTATATTGGCTCTAAATTCACCTGGAAGAAAGTTAGAGTTTTTTAATGCATTGATAGATGTTTTGCAAATCAAGATTGGTTTTCTTCTTTTGGCTTTTCATAAGTTCAACACCTTGCTAGCTCGGGTTCAGACCATAAACCTCTACTTATCTCATTTGATTTTTTTCAAAAAGCTTCTAAATACCATTTTCATTTTTTAAATGTTTTCTCTAAGCATGATGACTATATTATACTTATTGCTAATAAATGGAAGGTTTTTGAGGTTTGAAATGCTTGGTTCCATCTTTGGAAAATCCATAAGAAGGTGGCCTCTGCTTTAAGATATTGGAATTAGGACGTCTTTGGTGACGTTCATGAGAGGCTCTCTAGGGTGGAACAAAAATTTCTTTCTTTACAGGCCCTTAATAAATCTTCTAATGCTTTTGCTTCTCAGTTACAGGATGCTCACACTAAATTGTTAGCTGCCTCACTTCAGGAGGAACAGCTTTTGCAACAAAAGGTGGGAGAGGTGCATTTGTTTCAGGGGGATAGAAATATAAAATATTTCCATGCATGTATCAAACAGCGTCGGGCTAGCAATTATATTCTTCGGATCAAAGATGAATGTGGTAATTGGATTACGGGTAATAAGGCGTTAGGTGATAGTGCCGTCCGGTATTTCTCTGGTATTTTCAAGATTTATTAAGATTTATTTCTCCCTCGGCAAAATGAGGGTCTCATCAATAATGATCTTTTCAATGATGTTCGGGATTAGATTGAAAGACTTGAACTTTCTGGGATTCCTTCTGCAGAGGATATTTTTGAGGCCTTTTTTGATATAAATTCCAATGAAGCCTTGGGGCCAGGTGGCTTTACCTCTGATTTCTATCTCAAGACTTGGAAAATTGTCCAAGACGATGTTGTTCAAGCCATTCAAAGTTTTTTTAAAGGTGAGCTCCCGAGCAAATATTTCTCCTCTGCTACTATGGTCCTCATCCCTAATACTATGCAAAAGACTAATTCAGAACATTTTCAACCTATATCCCTTACCTTTGTGATATCGAAGGTCATTAGCAAAATTATGGTTAAGCGCCTCCAACCTCATCTAAATCTGTTAATTTCCCTTAACCAATTTGCTTTCATTAAAGGTCATACTATCATGAATAATATATTTCTTGCTCAAAAATTACTCCTTGATATTGATAAGAAGTGTCGTGGTGGCAACATGATCACTAAACTTGATATTCGTAAGGCTTATGATTCCATAAGTTGGGATTTCCTTTTAGTTGTGCTTAAAACAAGGGGATTTTCTACCTTGTTTTGTCGAATTATGTTTAATTAGTTTAATTCCAACCACTATAGCATTCTGATTAATGGTGAACTGCATGGTTTTTTTAATGCATGTCATGGGATAAAGCAAGGAGATACACTTTCGCCTACCATATTTATATTAGTATTTGATTATTTCTCTCGATTAATTAATCACAAGTTCAATCAAATACCCAATCTTCATTTTGATAAGAAATCCAGGGTGATTATTTCTCATTTAGCTTATGCAGATGATGTGGTTTTATTCTCTAATGCTAGCAAGAACTCTATTAAGAAAATTTCTCAAATACTAGAGGACCTTCAATCGCTCTCGGGCCTCCAATTTAGTGTTAATAAATGTCATCTTTATTTTGGTAAATTTGTGAATCATCGTAATGCCACATGGGCTGCCACTTACACTGGTTTCTCTATTTCTCATCTTCCAATTAAATATTTGGGAGTGAACTTAATTAAGGGGAGGACCAGACAGTCCCAAATGGATGATATTGTAGGTAAGATTAGAAAGCGGAACCTAGATTGGAAGAACAGCCTTCTTTCTTTTGGTGGTCGTATTACGGTTCTTAGAAGCATTGTGCATGCTATGCCTTTGTATTCTTTACATGTTTTACACATAAAAAGAAGCACTCAAAAGACTCTTGAAAGGTGTTTTAATAATTTTTTGTGGGTCGGTACCCATTCAGGGAAGAAATGGTGCTCTTGGAAGAAAGTTTGCAAACCCACTTATGCTGGTGGATTGGGGTTTAAACAACACCATCACATTGCTGATATCAATGTATTTAAACATTGGCACAATTTTTTAACAG